GGCCCGGCCCGGCCGCTGGCTCCTAGCTACGGCTCCGAGCAGAGGACCCGAGTAAATCAGAGGCCACGTAAAGCGGTTTTTTGACTGAAATTAGAGTGTATTTATTTGCAGCAATCCTTTAACAATGATCACATTTTGACAACAAGCAACAGCAATTACTGCTAAGTGTTGCCTCTAGATAGGAGCGGCAGATAGCAGGAAACTGTATTATCTCGGAAACACACTGAAAGGCCCCAAAGTCTGTAATCAAATCGCCATCTCCCTAAAGTCTGATTGACAGGGCTGATCACCCTGAGATAATGAATTTATTACATTTCCTGGGTTATTTACAAAGGGGGAGGGCCAATCCGATTGCCCCCTAGGCTTAACTGTAAATTGGCAAGAAAAATTGGATTGAAAAGAGCCACCCTGGGCTGAAGCGTTCTGCTCCTCTCCTTCCTTACTGCTTTAAACAGTTTTCAAAAAATAATTGTTCTACAAACATCTTCTAAAATAGCTTCCCAAAGATTAAATTTCCCTTTCCAACCCACAGTACATTTTTTTTTTTAAAATCAATCCTACATAACACATGGAGGATTGTAAAGGTGGATGAGTTATATACATACATTTTAAACTGGTTTACTTTTCCTCTTACAAAGGAGTGAGAAAATAGGGAAAAAAAATTCTATCCCACACTTGGTTCACAGGGATGCATAATACACATCCCGATGTTTTACGTGCTACAGAAGCCAGATACCCATCTGTGTCTCTCTGGAGGCACATTCACCTCCCGGGACACACAGGTATCACTGTGGTAAAGACTGCTGCTGACTCATGGGCATGCGATTTCCAAATCAGGTTCTGTCATTACTGAGAAAATGTATCTGTATAAGCCAACTCAGATCCATTTAGGAAAATACGTTTTTTTACTAGCCACAAAGCAAGCTGACTATATTTTGCAGGAGATGCTGCAGGGAAAAATCTAAACCAAAAGAGACTTTTATGTGAAATTTGACAGGAAATAGAGGGTTTCTCCATTTTTCAGAGATTTAAGAGGAGAATAGGTCATTTCTACTGTTTTAATCTCTGAAATCTTTTTTTCTTATAGTAATTAAGGCTGTATTAAAGCATCCAGGCATATAGGTGTCATTCAAATTGAATGGTAATTTATTAATAAACAAACAATGCGTATGTTCAACAAAAAGAAAGAAAAGATGATAGAGTAAGATTAATACAGTTTCCCTTTTTATAATGAAAAAAAGGCACAATGTAAGTTTCAGGCAATTTAACGTCAGGTTTTGGAAACACTTTCTGGCGTTTGGTCCACGACATCCAACTACAAATTAAAAATAAATTACTATGTTGAAATTTACATTTAAAAACAAGTCCATGAATAAAAAGAAAGCGATTTTCATATATGGGGACTTTTCCCCTCCTTTCAACATAGGATAAAATAGTATCTTACAGGTGAGAGGTGAGGGGGGAAAGGCTGAGGGAGCGGGAGAGGCGGGGAGGGCGCGCGCTCCCGAAAAGCAAGAAGAAACTTACGTGTTATCTGCAGTAACACTGCCCTTTAATGAACCATGACTGTGCTGTCTCTGTGTGAAACAGTTTATGGTTTTGTTTATTTAGATAAGGCAACGTGGAGGTGGCTCTGAATTAATCTTTTAAGAAAACAGTTTTCTGTGTGCTGGAGCGTTGACCTTCTGGAGGGATTCCGTTCCCTGGTTTGGCGAATGTTTTTCGAGATTTTTAGAACCGGATTTATTTGGCTGGTTTCGATTTTGCACAGGTGGTTCTTCGGGCTGTTCCTGCGCTGGGGTTCGATGCAGTTCGGCTTTGAGGGGGGCGGGGGTGTCAAAACTTGCTGCAGTCGTAGACGAAGGCCCCGGACGTGCGGTACAGAGACTGGCTGGAGGGGAAGGCCATCTGACAGCTGCTACTCCCGTTCACCGGAGAGTTGTTCAAGCCGAGCCTCTGGGACTCGAACATCTCCCGCACCGAGTGGAAGTTCTGCTGCTGGCCCGGGTAGCCCGCCGCCGCCGCCGCCGCCGCCGCGCTGGCCAGGTGGCCCAGGTCCCCGCTCGCCTGGTTCAGGTACCAGGAGGTGAGGCGGCCCTGGTGGGCCGCAGGGTGGTGGCCGGCCTCCTGGCCGCTGCCGTG